AATTATTCCTCCACATGCCGGAACCTAAGTGATTCAGAGGAGCGCTCCTCCCGCGCACACTTTCATTGTAGAATTTACCTGTCGAGGGTTTCTCAAGAGACTATAGCATAGAGTTTTACAAGAAGGGTATATTAAGGTTTCTTAAGAGTTGGCAACGAGCATGAGACACCCCAAGTGATCAGGCGTCTATTATAGGCTACAGTAACCGTTTAACGTATGCTCATTGCCACCATTGTAGTATAAAAAAAAGTTTATTTGAATAAAGAATTTTCTTTACTAATTCAATTAAATACTCAAATAGAGGAAATATTAAATATACAACCAACTGGTTGAGTAACTAAATAAGAGTAAATCAGTCGTAGTGATATGAGCAGACCAGTCCCTACAAGCAGCACACGTTCACGATTATGACGGATGAGCCGCCATCACTGCGCTCGATCATATTGTATTCTAATGCTGTTAACATCAACTGGCCTTTCACTAAACCATAGGGGCGACATTTTTTTTATACTGAACGAAAGGGGCGACATTTTTTTTATACTGCCATGGTGGTAAACTATCATACGGCCCATCTAAATGGTTATCCTACATACGCTTGAAATACCAGAGGTGTCACATGCGCATTGTTGACCCTTAAGAAATCTTAATATAATTCTTTGAAAATTTTCTTGAAATACCCCTTGCTTCTGTCTCTCGACAAAACTACGGCAGGTAATTCATTCCACAATCTAAGTATAGAGTGCAGATGATACAAATCCGTGGGGAGGCTGACGGAGTGGCTTCCAACTCCTGCCTGTAGGTAACAACTTTATTCTGAGGGCACCCTGAAAATTGTAATATAGATAAATTCCTAGTGAATTTGAATCATCCTCCACTAGTGCCCCGCCAGTGTATACCGTTAGCGCAGACGGGTGCACCATTCAAATTCAAATTAATAAATCATTTATTCATGTAGGACATTTTAGCCGCTTATGAACGTCAAATTTTTTATATTATATTTTTTTCTCTACCATCCAGTTCAGTATACAGATCCAATTGAGAAGAACTGGCAAGAAACTCAATTGTATTACCTATTTTTAAAAAGCCAGTTTATTTACAATGTATATTTATATGTCTAACTTTAAATGAAAATCCCATGCATGAACAACTATTGCCATGCACGCTCGTCATTCAAGTAATCGCTTAGTGAGTAATAGGCTTTGCTCAGTAAATATGATCTAACAGATGTTTTTAATTTATTTAAGGGTAATTCATAGCGCTGACAATATTATCTGATTGCACTAAGAACGAGTGCTAGCGTTTTCTATATTGATTATCGCATGCTTACTTATTATTGTATAATTATTTATATAAAAAAAAATCTATTCAAAAGAGCAACACACAAGTTTCTTGCTCATTCTTGTGAAGAATCTGCATTCCGAATGAGTGGTAGAATCAAAATATGACTATTTAAAAGTGCTTGTAATTAGTTCATTTGAATAAAGATTACCTCTATTTCTATTTTAAGTATTTCTTTGTTATCTTATTGTAAATGAATATACCTATTCCCATAAAAGACCTATTGACTTTTCCTAAACGATACTCCGAGATTTCATAATCATATATTAAAAAAAGAACATTCATGCCAGACAAGTTATTACACTTGGCCGGTACGACATTCTAGTCACGTTAAAAGAATAAAAGTACATTAATGTTGTTTAATTATGCTAAAAAAGGGTCGCAATCACCTCACCGGCCCGCGCACTGTAGCCGAAAACGTAGCCTTTGATCCCTAAACAGTCGCCGTAGAGACTTACTCTTTCATTTACCTTTCGCGTAACCACAGATTAAAATTCAAAATGAGATATATAAATTAATTACGTTATTAGGTAACGTAATATTTTAAAGGTCGGAAAATTCGGTTCGGAAATATATTATACTAGCTAATTGCCGTTACGTCGTCTGCTTTCTTGGGATGTATGTTGGCTTTTATATTTTAGATATTTTAAGCTGTAATCTTGACAAAGTCATTAAGACCTCGGTGAGTCTTGAAAGGTTGACAAAAAAGAGACAGACTGACATACTTTACCAAAGAACCTAAATACTATATATGTTTTACTGGTCGTACCTACTTTACAAGTATCTACCATTTTATATTAGTTGTTTCATTAAGACCACTCATTTTATACTCTATAGATATATACGTCATATAAAAAGTAATAATATTAATAATAATAATAATCTCAAGACAATTCACAGAGCGCCATCTACACCCAAGTTAAGCTAATAACACTTGTGTTATAGGCACTTTACAACTGATATAAACACATAGATTTACATTTTTATAAACATACATATTATACATAGAAAAATACCCAGACCGATCATACTCGTGAATGCAAATGTGTATGTGCGAGGAATCGAACCCGAGACCATCGGAAGTAAGACACTTCACAAACCACATCCATACTTACAAAATATATATATTCTTTATTGCACAGATAATACAAAGATACTATAATTTAGAGACAATGTGAGCAAAGGTGGACGTATCCCTAGAAGAGATCTCTTCCAGTCAACCTAAAACATAATATGTGGTACTGAGTGGGTAAAATATATAACACATAAAGACTTTTTAAATCCCCCAAAACACATAGGGCAAAGAAATAATAATCCCCTCATTGTAGCAAATATTATTACCAAGTCTGCACAAAATACACTAATTAACTAATTAATGTAATTTTACATTCCCTAATATTTGTTTTAGTCGAGAGCGAAATTGACTGCGTTTCTCCTTGAGGCGTTTAATTCTTTCATGTTTAAATTATTATAAAAATTCCTTTCGGCAAATGTGTTTAAACATATAAGAATGGATATCGAAATGAATTATACAACGGACTGTGTTCTGAGGAATTGTTCGACATGAAGCACCACGTACATTACATCAAAGGTGGTGCGGAAATCTGTGCATATTATGAAGAATATGAATTTGTCAACTTTTAAAATCGCGATATCTCACGAATGGTGATTCGTACGAAAAAAAGTAGTAGAACAATTTTTGTAGAGAATTATATGATCTACAACTTTTGTCTAACCTATTTTGACGATAATATTTTCGGTTTCAGAGAAAAATAGAAAAAAACCTGAATTTTGGACAACATTATTGCATTTTGATCGAAGGGGATTTTTGACATTTCATTTGTAATGGTTTATTTAACGTCTATACCAATTTACAGCTCTATGCGAAATGCGCGTTTTGGTTAAGTTAAATGTCTATTTTGACTGGACTATACAGTATGGGGTTTTTCAAGAAGGGTATATTAAGGTTTCTTAAGGGTCGGCAACGCGCACGTGGTACCCCTGGTGTTTCAGGCGTTCATAGGCTGCGGTAACCATTTACCATCATATGGGCCGTATACTTGGTTGCCACTAACGTAGTATTAAAAAAAAAAATTAACCGTTAATATTTAAAAATTGATATAATGGACACGTGGTGTGTCTACAACCACGCTTTGTCGCAATACAATATGTATGAAACACAATACACGCATACGATGTATGAAAAGAATAGACTTTTTTGAAGTAAGTAGATAACTCATTTATTTTATTTATTTACAAGCTGTACCCGCGGTTTCACCCGTATGTAATAAATAGCCTATATGTTATTCTGATGTATAAGCTATATTACTGTAAAGTTTCATCTAAATCCGTTCAGTAGTTTTTGCGTGAAAGAGTAACAAACATGCATCTATCCATACTTGCAAACTTTCCGGTTTATAATTTTTCAGTGATATGAAAAGAAGTGAGTTTTTATTTAAATTGATGCCATATTTATTTATTATTATATCTATACATACAAATAAAATTGGAGTGTCTGTTTGTAAATTGAAATAACCGTTTTTTTACATGCATATGAATATAAATACGGTACATACACCAAAATAACATTTTTTACAATTATTGTCTGTCAGACAGACGTCTGTTTGTTTGTTGTGGCTAATCTGTGAAATGGCTGTTCCGATTTTGACGGAACTTTTTTTGGCAGGTAGCTGATGTAATAAGGAGTAAGTTAAGCTAAGCTACCTTTATTTTAGAAAAATAAAGTTATATTCCACGCCGAGAAGTCCCGGGTAAATTATGTCAGCATATAGCCTGCTCATTTTTCTATAATAATTTATAAATTGTGTCAACACATATGTAGTGTAACCCTGATTTTCCTATAATGAAATTAATTAATTATTGAATAATTAATTGTTATTAATGAATTATAAATGATCATACATTCCTAATTTAAAAGATACGCGCTCTTGGCTCATCTCTTGCCATTTTCCATGATCTTCCATCAATATCTTTAGTTGTTGATATAACACGACACCAACTTTTTCGTAATATATAAAATTCTCGTGTCAGATTCCGTCCCCTCCGTTTATAATCCTATAAAATTTTATTAGAATCAGTCAAGCCATTTTTCCGATTTTAATGAAATTTTATATGTACATTCAGTAGGTCTGAGAAAAGGCTTATAACTAATTTTTATACCCCTAAGTGTCATGTAATAATAATTTTAAATATAATAATGTGATAATAATGTAAATGTAATAAATATTATTGTAAGATTTTACACGCCGGAAACGGCAGGGCATGTTTTGGAATTATTATAATCTTAAGACCATTATGTACACATGTTCCAGTAAATAAATTGAATTGAATTGAATTGAATTGAATGGGTGGTTCACCGTAAAAATGTTTTTACATATTTATTGTAATTTATTTTTATTTTTTAGAATGTAACATATAATACATTAAATATTTATACATACAAATAAATTTATAAATACATACAACCCTAAATTTCCACTCTTCTATCACCAACCCACATGTTTTAATAGCGATTTTAATTTATAAGACAAAACAATATTTGCGGGGTCAGCTAGTAATAAATATATAAATAAAAAAGGCAATAAATAAGGTAAACAATAAAAAAAGGCGCGTCGTGCACTTACCGTAATTTTGCCCATCACTAGTATAACAAGGTCATGTAATGACCGTAAATTGCCGTCCTTTAATCTCGACAATGATGTGGTCAGGTGTGGTCGTATTGACTGCCCTGCTTAGTTGTGGAGTAGGTCAAGTGACACCATGGTGGGGGTCGGCTGTGTACTACAGACTTCTAGTTGATTCGTTTAAAGACGGAGATGGAGACGGTTTGGGTGACTTGAAAGGTTAGAAAAGAAACTATATTAATAGAATATAATTAATAAATAAATTCACAGTCATATTCTATCAAATCAAATCAGAATATCTTTATTCATGTAGATCTATTACAGACTCTAATGATATGTCAAATCGACTATTAATTATCAAATGTCCCACAATTACAATAATAAAAATTTATTGACTTAAAATTCACAGTCATATTCCATCAAATCAAATCAAAATATCTTTATTCATGTAGGTCTATTACAGACTCTAATGATATGCAAATCGACTATTAATTATCAAATGTCCCACACTTATAATAATAGTAATTTATTGACATTATATTTACAGTCATTTTCCATCAAATCAAATCAAATCTTTATTCCTGTCAAGGTTTATAGCAGACTCTTACGATATGTCAAATCTACCATCCAGAGTGTTTATTAAATTTTCTATCGGAGTACCTAAATCTTATATATAAAATTCTCGTGTCACAATATAAGTTACCATACTCCATCGAAACGGCTTTACCGATTTTTATTAAATTTTATATGCATATTCAGTAGGTCTGAGAATTAGCTATCATCTATTTTTCATACCCCTAAATGATAAGGGTTGTCGACCCCTAACATTATTTTTTTTATTTATTGGGCAAAGTTTTTTAATTTTATTTTCTTAATATGTATCATTAAAAATACATACGACCCTAAATTTTCACCCTTCTATTATCAACCCTTATTTTTTTTATAACGTTATTAATTTATATGGCAAAACAACGTTTGCCGGGACAGCTAGTTTTATATATAAGGATGTAAGTGGAGAAGGTATGAATATTGGTTTGGATATATGTGCGTATATATGTGTATGTTTGTATGAGTGTTCAATTTGCAGAACTGTACGTTAGCCGAAAGATGGAAGTATTCGTTACGTTTCCTCATAATTTATTTTCATCAGTTAATCAAAATATTAAAATAAATTCAACCTTTAAAAAATTAAACATCTGTTAAATTATATTTATTTAGCAAAGACATATTATACAGTAAACGATTAAATGAGTAACGATATATATATGGCAATAATAGTACATGGCTATTAAAAAAAACAGTTGAGTTGCCAGTTCTTCTCAATTGAATCTGTATACTGAACAGGACGGTAGGGAAAAAATATTAATACAAAAAAATTAACGTTTATTATTTATTTATATCAGGCAACTAGGCCCATATCTTATAGACTAATACATTATAGACTAACATACATATGAATGAATATTATAAAACTAATATTTAATGTACTATAGTCTGTGTGGTTACGGTACTGACGACGGCAATCTGCCACGGTAGCACCGATACACCACACCCTTAGGCGAGTAGTTCTCCTTCATGAAGGTGGGCAGCATGTTCGTAGGGACCCACAAATCAAATAAAATCGGCTAAAATTCCCTAGATGAATAGTTTTTTTTTTTGTATATTATTTATTTTAAATGTAGGTACATATTACTATATTTTGAATTGCGTACATTGAAGTTAAATAAAAAAAAATAGATTTTATTTGAATCTCTTTAATTACTTTTTTAACTTGATACATGATGTATTTGTTACAGGACTGTCAAAGCAAATTAGTTACGTGCGAGCCCTTGGTGCGGATGCTGTCATTCTATCTCCGATCTCATCGAGAAGTACAGACTGTTCAGAGCCCGGGATTATACAGCCCTCTGAAATAGACCAGCGCTATGGTAACTTAGAAGAGTTTAGTGCTGTGTTAGAGAAGGCTAAGAAGATAGGTAAGTGAAAACTTAAGCCAATGTTGTCATCATTCACCTTATCCTAAATTCAGGTAGGAGTAATATATATATACTACTAGCTGTACCCGCGATCGTTCGCGTGGAATTTAACTTAATTTTTCTAAGATAAAAGTAGCCTAAGTTACTCCTTATTACTTCAGCTACCTGCCAAAAAAAGTTCCGTCAAAATCCGTCCAGCCATTTTAGAGATTAGCCGGAACAAACAGACAGGCAGACAGACAGACAAAAATTGTAAAAAAATGTTATTTGGTGTATGTACCGTAATTATATTCATATGCATGTAGTAAAAAACGGTTATTTCAATATTACAAACAGACACTCCAATTTTATTTATATAAATAGATTGGGAAGTTTCAGTATAGTATACGTCAGTATAGTATTGTATGCAACAGTACTTTTATTTTTAGTCAATAAATTAATAAAGTCTGTAATAGACCTACATGAATAAAAATATTTTGATATGAGAGTAAACCATAACAATTTATTTCAGAACTAAAGGTACTTGTAACTTTACCTTTACAAACAGTTAGTACCGCATCTGAGTGGTTTAAATCAAGTGCTGATAAACTAAATGGATTCGAAGACTGGTTTGTATGGCGGGAAGGAACTGCTGAAGCAACACCTCAAGTACGTATTAAAAATAACTCTTAAGTAAAAGAGAAATAGAAGTAATCTTTATTCAAATAAACTTAATAGACGCAGTTTGAAGTAAACATTTTTTCTTAATTCCACCAGTCATTCGAAACGCAAAAGATCATTCTTATTGTGATCTGCTCTTTTAAATACAGTAAATACACATTAACAAAGAGGAGGCATACATTAAAATCAATTCTTAAATAGAAAAGAAATAGAAATAATCTTTATTCAAAATAAACTTGACAGAAGCAGTTTGAAGTAAACATTTTTTTTTAATTCTACCACTCACTCGAAACGCAAAGAGATCACAAGAAGAATGAGCAAGAAACTTGTGTATTGCTCTTTTAAATGCAGTAAATACACATACGACAATCAATGATAAAATAAGTCTATGCTACATATTCAATATTGTGACATAATTACAGCTTGAAAATGGTATCGATTCCTGGACATGGCACGAAAAGCGAGGCGCATACTTTGGTAAATCAGGCAAAGAAGCAATTCTTAATCTTTGCTCAGAAGGAGCAACGGCCGCATTAGCTGAAACCCAATGTGCTTGGGTACGCAGAGGAATCGCAGGTGTCCTACTTAACCCAGACTTTCCTATGGAACAGCGATGTGGAGAACAACTGCTCAGGAAAATGGTTGTTGCAGCTTTGAATTGTGCTCGCAGTTCTAATATAGACACCCCGTAAGTATTTAATGAATATAGACGAATATACTTAATTAGCTGGAAAGATAAAGTAAGAAATAAAGAAGTATTGCACAGAGTGAAACAAAAAAGGCAGATATTGAATACTATAGAAAGTAGAAGAGGAAAAATGTTAGGGCACTTGATACTGTATGATGAATTTTTAGAACTAATTATTAAGGGAAAGATAGAAAGAAAGAGGGGGAAAGGAAGACCAAGGCACAGTTACATCAAACAAATTAAAGACAGAATTGGAGTCGTGTCGTATCAAGGCTTAAAGAGTATGATGAAAGATCGTAATCGTACCAAATAAAGCCAAAATAATTTTAATTTTATCCTAAGTAAATATAATCACCTATTAAACGTGCTGAGTAGTATAATTGATATGTAAATCTCTGAAAGTTTAACATTTATCTCGTTTATTGTTATCCAGGGCAATATTAGCAGATTCATCTTTAAGTCCAGGATTAGCAGCCAAGTATTATTCAAGCGGTGGAGTCGGCGCTAATAGTATTTTAAGTAGAAGTCTAACTTCTCCATCAAGGAGTTCGACACCTGAAGTGGCACTTGCTATTTATGCTGATTTGTTGAACGCTCCTGATGATATGACTCCAACTTGGATTGTAAGTACAGTATAGAAATATTTTCCCTCAGGCAAATTAATTTAAGTCAATTTTGTGTACTCATGTTTTATGATTATACCTTCATATTCGTAAGTCTCTATAGTACTTTAACAAAGGACAATTTTTTTAAACGATTACGATGTATTTAAATTTTAATTGTTTAAATTTTATAGACGACCTCGTTGGTCTACCGGTTTTTGCACACCGTTTCACTTCCGATGGTCGCGGATTTGATTCTTTGAACGATAGTAATACTGACGACTACGATCGTTTGTAATAGTCTGGATGTTTTATTATATATATTATATATGTATTTACAGAAAAATTGCAAGTATTTCTTTCAGTTATCTAATAGCCATACCATAGACTGCTTCACTCGGGACTACATGGCTGTGTGTGAACTGTTCAGGATTATTATTATACTTTAATGAGTGATTATTTCTATGGACCTCACTGCTCATTAGTTTTACACATTAAACGTTGTAAATTCTGATTATATTTTGATGTTATCTTGATACGTAAATAGCAGCATCATTAAGTTATACAATATTTTAAAACGATTTTAATTAATATTAACCAACAGACCAGCGCACCAAATGAAAATAGGATAGCAACAAGATATGGTAGTGACATGGTAGACGCAATAAATCTAATAAGTCTAATATTACCCGGAGCTGCAATTATACAACAAGGAGACGAACTTGGAGCAGCAGATTCCATCATGGAATGGGCCTCATCATCAACATGCTGGCCTAACGAAGCTGTACCGTCAGCAGCACCATTCCCTTGGGATGATTCTCCTAATACAGGCTTCACTACTGCAGACCCATGGCTACCGGTTACTCCTAATTATAGATATGCGAATGCTAAATCAGAATTTTCAAATAACCACAGTCATGTAGGACTTGTGAGGGTTGCGGCTGCTATGAGGATATCTCCAGCTTTTGGACCTCATCTCGAGGTAATATATACTAATAATACTATTCGTTTAATATTTTTTATTGTATGAATAAAAAATATTAAACGGAACATAGGTAATAAAAATCGGTCCATTATTGATAAAGGTAAATCTTAACGTAAATAAATAATTAAAAAACATTTACGCATGCCATAGCAGCCAGTGATTAGGTTTACACTATATACCTGAAATTTGATAATCTTATAAATAATAATTATAATGGATATCTTTCTGCACGGTGAAATATTTTAAAAAATCGTCTAAGAAATTTCCTAGGCCCAAGCCCGTGTAGGGAACGTTGATGCATTAGATTCTAGTGTACTAGATGAACTGAGGATACTCTGAAAATTGCTGAAAGACAATATACGCGGAAAGCGAAATACCGCACACAGTATAAAAATGTCGTCTAAGCAAATTTCTAGAGTGAAGACCATAGAGAACGTTGGAGTATTAGATCCTAGTCTAGCAGAAGAACTAATGATACTCTTTGGTACGTGATGATGCGGGTCGAATGCTCAGATGGTAGATGATGATGGCTTCAGCAGATTACGGGGTGAATAAATGATAGATTTCACTTGATAGTCTCGAATTTAATGGCAAATATACTATTTATTACAAATTTGGTGGAGTGAACAAAATGTACGTTAGATCGATCGGTTGATATTTTAAGTCTGTACGTTACTTTGCGTATTTAAATTGGATGGGTGTGCGCTCCAATCAGAACGCTCCCTTTGTGTTGCGTTTTGTTTATGCTTGTACGTAACACTCTTTTACTCGGAAATACCGCAAATGGTGATACTCATGGCATTAGAGAAGGTGTTGTAGAAATATACTGTAAAGCAACTTAACTGTATAATTAGTTTAGTGGTAGCAGTAGAGTCAGTAAAACATATAAAGATTTTGTTTTACAGTTTTAATTGCAAAATAGAAAAAATAAGGTTTAATCATATTGATAATAAAAGAGTTTCTTAACAATACTTTTTGTTACCTGACAATGAATCAATACAAACTTAAATTTTGTTAATGATAGCATATATTTAAAAAACATCTCATATTTAATCACATTCAGAAGTTCTTTCTGATGTTTTTTAAATCGATTACTAAATATTATTTCACCATTATTTTCCTTTAGATGAAGCGACTGGGAGATGCTCTGGCAATTCTAAGATGGGGCACAGCCGGATCTCTTCTCGTGCTCTCCAACTTAGCTCGTGACCCAACAGAAGCCCAATTATCAAGGATCCATGGATTACCAGCAGAAATGACCGTCGCAGGGAGTTCAACCGGTTCCAGCCTGCAGACCGGATCTCATGTTGTTGTGGACAAGACTATCAAACTGGCTCCAGGGGAGACGTTGCTGCTGGCTGGAGGACATAGGCACTGTGGGGGCCCAGGTCCGGTGGACAAGATTGCCAACAAGTTATCAGAAGGTTGGCAGAAGATTAATAAGTATTTTAGTAGTATATAAGGTTATCGATTGAACCAATAATGTTATCAACGTTTCAATAATCAGTAACATAATATTGTTGTATAGATGTTAACATATTTTCGTTCATAAATAAATTGACCAGACCAAACCACTATCAAATGTTATTTGTCTATACGAATAAATAAAGTAGTTAGTAAGAAGCATTTAATTTGGAAGTATAAACAACTTCCAAATTAAATGCTTCTCACTAAATCGATATGATAGATATACGGTACTTACATAAAAAAAAATTAACTTTTTTGTCTGTTTATTCGTGCTAATCTCCTATATACGAATAAATAAAGCTGAAGTGTCTGTTAGTAATTTCTTTATATGCAGCAATTACATAAAAAATATATTTTTATACTTTTTGTCTGTCTGTTTGTTCTTGCTAATCTCTGAAACGGTTGGACCGAATTTGACGAGACTTTGACTCCCAGATTACTGATGTAATAAATAATAAGGAATAACTTAGGCTACTTTTATTTTAGTAAGTTTAAATATTTTAATAAAAATAAAATTTGTCGCAGCGAATTTCGCCGATAACAGCTAGTTAAGTAATAATAATATATTAATAAATCTTCACGACTTTAACCAGATACGGGGTAGTCAGAAACATTGTCGTACGTCGATGGCATTCCGAAAGCAACACTTGATGCTTAGCTTTGACAATTTAATAGAGGGAGAACCTGTCGTCGTCGCTTGAATAATTTTGGTTTGTTATAGGTGTTTCCATTACCGGAAAGTTAATCAGGATATTAATTAATCCCCATATTTGTCACAAGACCTTTGAAGTCTGGTAGACAGAAGGTAGTAATTATTACAAACAAAAAACAAACGTATCTTCACGACTGTCAGTAAAGTTGGGGTAGTCAGAGGTATTGGTCAAGTGTTGATAGTATAGTAACAGAACGAATGCCGTCGCATTTATACATTTTTGGTTTGATATCGGTGTTTACTTCACCGGAGAATTAGTCAGAAACATAAATAGTTACGCAAAGTTTTTATTGTGTCTGCCAAATTTCAACTCACGACCTTTTCATTGTAATTCACGTTAGCGAACCGCTGAACCACGACGCTCTAAAAGTAATATTATCAATAAAATTATGTAATTAAATACGTGTAATAATAATCATATCTACATTCTAAGCTATTCCAAATAAAATACATCAAATTGTATCAGATATTTAAAACATTGTAATGTTACATACTAAAAAATTACACATTCGTCAAGTAGAGGCATTCAAGAACGGTGCAAATGTAAAGAATAGAATAGAATAGAAAATTATTTATTCAAATAAACTTAATTTAAGCATTTTTGAATAGTCAATATTTTTTTTTTAATCTACCGCTCATTAGGAAAGGTGTCTCATCACAAGAAGAATAAGCAAGAAACTTGTGTTACTCTTTTAAATAATCATTTAAAGAAACTTCAAACTCCACTATGTGGTACGGAATGAGTTGAATAGATACAAAACTGTACGGGAACACGCGCGCCTCGTACGAGCCTACTTACTCCACTCTTTACTATTGTCTGCATGACCTATTTCCAAGCTAATAAGAGAAAATGTTGTTTTATATAACCTCTAACCTAGTTACAATGTCGCGCAACCTTCCGCTTACAAATAACTAAATAAAACGCGTAAAGATTAAATAAATTGGGATATTAACATAGGAAATTACTTAAAAATCGATTACCACTTCTAAGAGAGTCCAATAAAAACATATAACCAATATTAAAGCCCGCGCGATTTGTAACAATTCCGGCTTTGAAGACGACTCAACGCCAGAGGGCGTTTCTCCGTATAGCGGGAAAATACTCGAGACATACTATTAGGAAATGAGGTGGAAATGGTAAATACTTACAGAATTTGCTCTTCTCGGCATGGCTGAATGTGGATACAGCATAAACTGCGGTTAGCAAAGTAAGCAACGCGCGCGCCCTCATTGCGGGGCGGCGCGGGCTGGCTGGTGCCCGGCGCGGCGCGGACTGCCGCCCAATCGGCTATCGACCCGGACCACGCAACGCATGCGTCACACTCACCCCACACCCCACGCCACTCCTATAGGGTTGCTATTACAAAAAATCACCATCTAGATTTAAAAAACATAACCGACCCTTTTTTAAATTTTCTGTAAACCTTATAGGTTTTACTGAGATGTAACTTTGTAGAAAGCCATCTGCGGGAATATGGAGGTCAACTTCACCTATTTCTGTCGTCAACTAAGCTCTGTTTTAAGTTAAGGAAACTGGGTTGGCTAAAGTATGGACGAGCATCATCCGTCATACTCGTGAACGAGTGCTGCTTGTGACTGATCTGCTCTAATTACTACGATTAATTAAGCCTTACAAATTAGTGCTAGTTGGTAGTTTGTATTTGAACTTAAAAATGTAAAATTACTACAATTATTTGAAAGAGCTATACGCAAGTTTCTCGCTCGTTCTTATTGTGATGAGACAACTTTTCTTGGCTGCTCAAAAGTGTTTAAATTTAAATTTATCGGTATTAAAAAGTTCCTATTCTATTCAGGCACTAAGTCCTTAAGAATGAAAATGCATCATAACGACACATAACATAAGTAATGTTCGTTGTGCAGGGGGAAAGGAGATTGTTAGTGGTAGTTAGTAATATGTACTAATGGTTACTAGACACATTGTGTGACTGGAGCGGGAACACAACTACTATTTTAATTAAATCAAGTAATAGGAACAAAATGTATATATTTCCTAAAAGGGGTCATAGCGAACAAAGAAGTAACAAGAAGTCAAAAGTGACATGTAAAAACAGATATCAAAAATATAAAGTTTGTAAGAATGGTAGACAAGCTGCCAGCAACACATTGTTAGCCATTGCTAACAGTGTACCATGTCAAGCTGTATACACGTGGTTTCCCCTATCAACAATCGTGATAAATTCGAGGGTTATTTGGCACAATAGACTAGCTGACCTGACCTCATGCTCATCTGATCATCTTCCAATGGTATCCCTTGGATTGATGGTTCTTACACAGTAAAAAAATATTGTGTTGCTCATGTATATAGGCGATTGCTTCTTATTCATTATTATTTAAATCAAAATGTAAAATGCAATAAAATCATACACCACTGTTCTCACTCGCTGGTTGCAGCGTAACGCCCATAAGACGTCAGCAGTGAGCGCTAGAGACGACATAATGCGTCCTTCTCTTTCCCACACATACTACACAACCGTTATTTATTCTACACTCAGTTGCGTAAAAAGAACACGAGCTGAGTTTCTTGTCAGTTCTTCTAATCTCGAAATCATTCCGAACTGACGGTAGATTTGACATATCATAAGAGTCTGTAATAGACCTACATGAATAAAGATACTTTGAATTTTTTTGAAGAAGGTTTCTGAAAATCAAAAATATATGTATTTTAATAATATCGAATATAAATATACCCTCAACAGCTAAATATATAGCTAAATCAGCACTAATATTCCTAAACGGCATATTTGTAGCTGAATCTAGCAACTCACGTCAGCTTTCAGCCTTCGAGTGTATAGTACGGGCGTACCGTAGTCTCTCTCGCTTGATGACTCATTCGTTCAAATGAATGAGTGAGTGAATGAACCGATAAGCTCGCTCGAGTACACTACTCACTACAATGTCAGGACCAACCGTCCGTAGACCTCTAGACTAGATCACTACATGTAAACAAGTCTATAACTACAATAAACACGTACGCTTAACAAGAAATCGTAATAATTAAAAATATAAAATTCGACATCAAATTTTTAAATTAATATCGTTTGACGTCCTCAGTGCTCTAGCGGTTTAGCACACCGCTTTACTTCCGATGGTCGCGGGTTCGATTTCTAGCAGGGTGTAAAGATTTGTATTCATGATGATTGTTTGCATCGGTCTGGGTGTTTTCTATGTATATTATGCATTTACAAAAAAATCTAAATATTTATATCAGTTATCTAGTACCCTTAACACAAGCTCTGCTTACCTTGGTACTGGATAGGGCTGTATTAATTGTCCAGGGCTATATACATATATTATAATTTGACTGTTTCGGTGCTCTAGCTATTTCTATCACACTGCTTTACTTCCGATGGTCTCGGATTCAAACCTACAACAATACAATAGGAAGTTGCATCTATAAACTACAAGAAGTGGTCACCCAGTGGTTCTGCTTATTAGACATAGTTGAATAACAGATGACAGGAAACACAACGCTCCTAGTAGTACTCTGGTACAGATGAGTGATCTGGCAACTAGAGGATTTGATCCCGGGTTCCAAACTCTGTACCCCGGGATCCCAGTCGAAATTACGCTCCCGAGAATCTCGGGATTTTATATAACAAATCCCGGGATTTTCGGGATTAACAAAAATTTTTACAAAAAATAATAAATTTTGTGTTTTTGCATGAAACGAAACGAACTTAATGTCTATTTAACATATATCGGCCATCTTGGATAAACAGATGATTGATTGCGTTAGTTTACGTTTAGCGTTGGTGTGATGTGTCCAAAAGATCGTCTTTACGGCGATCAGAGAAATGAATTTCGTAACAAATATTTCATCACTATAATCACAACGTTACTTTATAAGAACTAAGTATAATGATATGTAAGAATTACTATATTTGTCGAAGTCAATGGTTTCACATACCTACTTGTCTTACATCACTATGGTGATAGGATATTATTCTAGGTTTCTCTAAATGAGTCTAACAAAGTTTAATTTTTAGTAAGTATGTATGTATTATAATTTGTTAATTACAAATATTAGTCTTCAATGAAATTAGAAGCAAATTTTGTTTAATACAGCTTTAAAATGAAACTATTACCTATTACCAAAATAAAAATAGAATGATTGAAAATAATTTAATGAGTTTTCAATGCCACTGCATTCATAAATTGATCCCGGGATTGGGATCCCGGAATCTCTTTCATTAATCCCAAAATCCCGGGATTAAAAAAACTAGTCGGGGCTCCTCGTAATTTATTTTTAACATTAGTAGATA